CCCCCCCTCTGTGCTCAGCACAAGGGCCGGCGACCTCACTGCTTTGGAAGGGTTTCCAGATGGTCAGCGACAAGGAGGGCGTCGCAACTCAGCATCTGTGAAACAAGGGGCATGGGGCCAGCCTTTCCTTTGCCACCTCAGAGGAGACTCTCCCTCCCAGGCCTTCCAGGCCAGCCTCTAAGTCCAGGAGTTTCAGGAGGGACCCACCTCAACCTAGGCACGCGCCAGGAGACCATGAGCCGCCCAGCCTGTCCAGTCTCCTGAGCAGCAGTGACATCTGGAAGCACAACCCTTACTCAGATGGGGCACCTTTGGCACACGTTCACGCGGGCAGCATTTCCATCGACGGACGTTTCTTTGTGGAAACTCATTCCCAAGGGCAGGGGGCAGTGGGGGGTGAATAATGAGATGCTGGCGCGGCCGGGGGTGGCTCAGCGATGTCAGAGCCTGCGGCACTATCTGCTCCTGTCACTATCAGTATGCAGCAGGAGCGTGGGCCGGGAGGGTGGGCAGGGGCGCGGAGGAGGGAGCCGCGCAGGAAGCTGGAGATAAAGTCTCCAAATCCGGCTGAGGCAGTTAAGTGGGGACAGCAAGGGGGAGGGCCAGCAAGCAATGAAGTCAGAGACACAGCAGCGATTGCAGCTGAATCAATTTGGAGATAAAAATAGTGCCTTGCCGCCCCTGCAGCTGCAGTGATTTCATAAAGGTCTCAGCTGCGTGGTAGAAAAAGCCAGCGTGAGTGCCCCTACCTCCTCCTCTTCCTCCTCCTACCCCCTCCCCCTCTCCCTCCTCCTCTTCCTCCTCCAAACTTGTGAGCCAAGCAAAACGCGCCAACAGGAGCTACAGCATTGCTCTTTCATCTGGCTCCCTCTGCCTCTTTGTCTCTGCTTGTCTTTTTTCCTGCCGCCCAATCTTACCACCCCCCAATCCCCATCCCCCAGAAGTGCCTGTCACCCCCCCACCCCCACCCCCGCTTGTTCTTAATAAGATCTTGAAAGACAGGGACAAGCAGATGAGATCTTCAGAGGCTGAAGCCCATAGGGGAGGGCCATGCCTTCAAAGTGAACCCCAAATGAGGCTTTGCCCCTGACTTTCCACCCCTGAGACATCCGCTGAGATGGCCCCTGACGCCGCGAGGGAGGGACAGAGGCTCCTGGCCAGCGAGGAGGTGAACATCTTTCAGGAAGGGCTCCCAGGAAGTCAAACCCACCAGGTGGTCCCAGCTGATCTCTCCTTCCTGGGCATTCAGAGGAAAGGAAGTTCCAAGATTTGTGTCTGGCCCAAGAGACTTAGATTTATGGACCAATTTCCTTGACTGATGGATCTGCATTGGGCTATGGTGAATAGAGCCATTCTGGCCCCCCGCAGAGTGATTATCCCTGCTGTGCAGGGGAGGTAACCTTTCTGAGCCTATAGCCTGACATTTGCATCAAGGCAAATGCATCACTGTTAATTGCACCTGAGTGTCAGAACCCACTTGATATGTGTGTCCCAACCAAGGTGTGAATGAGCTGGCAAAGAAGGTGCACAGACACAGGATCGAAATAGAGATCCTAGATTTGACTATTAAAGAACAAAAACTGGAATGGTTTGGATGAATGTTGGTTTCCTTCACACCGCTCCAAGGGGAGTATGTTCAGAGCAAATCACACATAGTTTGTGAAAGGGACTAAATGGATGTTTTACTCTTAAAAAGAAACAAAGACAATGTGGTTCCAGTAAAGTTGTTTCTGACTCAGGATGACCTCATGGGTTTCTGAGTAGAACTGTGTTTCACAGCGTTCATAATGATCATCTTTTCCCAGCAGACTTTTCTTCCTAGGCTACCTCTAGGTGGGTTCAAACCATCAATGTGTTGGTTAGCAGTGGTGTGCCTAACCATTCAATCACCGAAGGACTTTAGTTTTTGTTTAAAATTTTATTGGGGGCTCATACAACTCTTATCATAATCCATACATACATATATACATACATACATTGTTTCAAGCATATTTGTACATTTGTTGCCATCATCATTTTCAAAACATTTTCTTTTTTGTTCACACTTTGTTAGCTCAGCACTTGTAGTGCTTTTAAAAAAAATCATTTTATAGGGGTTCGTGCAACTCATCACAATCCATACAAACATCCATTTAAGTTAAGTACATTTATACATTTGTTGCCATCATCATTCTCAAAACATTTGCTTTCTACTTGAGCCCTTGGTATCAGCTCCTCATTTTGTCCTCTCCCTCCCCAGACCTCTCCC